CTTCATCAGCGCTCGGGATGTTACAATGAATGTAAGTTAAAATTATAATTTAGCAGTGTTTGAGAGAAATAGGTAAAAGTTGGCATGAAAAAGTGTAAAGCATAAATACCTATATTATGCACTACTTAAGTCATTAAACTTTAATGTTGCAAAACTAGAATTAATAAATGCTTTATAATATATATTTATACAAATTATGTTAATTAATATGATTATCATGTATATATGTATAAGATATTAATTTGAGTTAAAAAATTTTAAATTATTATAAAATATTATGTAATACTTGACTTGACTGGACTAACTCAAAATCTAACTAGAACTTGAATTATACTTAACTAAAAAAATACAATAAGTCTAATTTTTTAAACCCGAACTCAATTAACACTACAATTATATTATGGCTTTTTCACCTTTTTGTCCCTCATTAATTAATTGATAATCATTTTGCCCCTTATTGTAAACTATCTACCAATTTGTCCCTCTTTAATCGATTAACTTGAATATTTAATCGATTAAATGGTTGACTCCAGATTTAATCGATTAAATCTCCCAATTTAATCGATTAAAGATTTAACATGCACCCTTAGCCGTCGTTGGAGAAGTCTGATTTAATCGATTAAAAGGGAGATTTAATCGATTAAATCTTCAAGTCAACCATTTTTTCCAGTTTTGACTATTTAATCGAATAAATCTTCAATTTAATCGACTAAAGAGGGGCAGATTGGTAGATAGTTTTGAATAAGGGGCAAAATGATTATTAATTAATTAATAAAGGGCAAAAAGGTCAACAAGCCATTATATTATTCTATGCCTATTTTGGTTAGGTTTGGTGATATTTCAAATTACTGCACTGTAATTTATTTATTTTTAGTGTTATTTATACACTACTTTTCCTTTTCAGTATTAAGAAATATAAGTGAAATAAAGTTGAGAGAAAATGAAAAGTGACAAACTTGAAAATGATAAAAAGAGTTAAGATATAAAATACAAGCCAAATATATGTGTTGTATAATTTTTTTTTAGGTAATATTTTTTCATTAGGTTGGCTCACCAAAAGATTGTGAAGGATGTCAAGTGCAAAGAAAAAATTCCAAAAACAAAATTATTTCGTGTGTTGTTATGAATATTATTTAAGGATTTTTTTTACTTTGTTAGAAAAGCTATTTGAGAAATTTTATACTTGGAACTCTTGCTGGAAACACAATTTAATGAATTAGAATTTTTTTTTTTTATTTTAGTTTGATTTGTAACTTGACATGCCTATAAGATATTTTAGACAGTGTTTAAAAACTCGGCTCGACCGTCAACTCGGCCGAGGTCAAGGGTCACGGGTTCAACCGAGGGTCACTTCGCTGACCCGATTTTATACATTAAAAAAATATAAATATATATCTTATATGAAAAATTCAAAAAAATCAAACGACCAATCATTAAAGATTCAAAATATACTTAACATAATTCAACCAATTACATCCACAAGTCAATATTACACAAACTAATCAAAGTATCAAACTATGAAAGTAAAAAACACATACCAATGAAGTTAATGAAAAGTTATATCATCAAACTTAGATCATTCTTATCCTATTCACGCACCTACAATATCATGTGAAAGAAGATCCCTTACCCAAGAGAGAACGACAGAGGAAAGGCGGTGACACGATGAATCAATGGTGGGGAGAGAATAACCAGCATGACAGATGAGAGGGAGAGAAAAGATATAAGAGGATAAGAGGAACCACAACCACGGTGGAGGAGGTCACTTTATCAAGGAGACTGGGTCTGAGTCTGGGAGAGAATATCGGAAGAGAAGAAGAATAATAATTTAGATTTCAGATCTAGTTCTACTTTGGATAATAGTGAGTTTTGTCTTTTTTTTTTGTTTTTTTAAACATCAAACAACGTCTTTTCGTATATAATTTTTTTTATAAAAAATACAGTGACCCTCTTTGACCCGGGAGTCACGGGTTCATCAGGAAGGTTTCGGGAGTCAGAGATGTCAACATGCATGCAGGGTCTAACTGTTGACCCCAACCCTCATAGAGAGGGGTCAGTGACCCGGGAGCGGGGCGAGATTTTAAAACACTACTTTTAGGCCACATTAGTTTTTTTAAATTTTTTACAATAGGCCAGGTCAAACCCATAAACCAAGATTTTAATAGGCTAATAAACCAATGTAGGTTATAAAATTTTTACATAGGCTTAGGTTGTGAAGGCCAGAGTCTGACTTAACTTGGCTCATTTATACCCCCACATACATTGTCGGATCTATTTGGTTGCAAATGTGTGGAAGTGCACACATAAATTTGGTCATACATTTTTTTTAGTAAAGAAGAAATATATTTTTTAATTAATTAGGAATGTCACTTAGAGAGCAATTTTAGTGGCTGCATTGCCAGGAATACAAGCACAGGTACTAAGAAAGAAACACATCTTATTTACTGCTTATGTTTTAGTGGTTTTATATCATTGAGTTGATTACTATTTTTTTTATGTTAAGTTGAAGTTTTCTTTTCTTTTATTGTTTGAGGATTATATCGTCATATTATATGAACAAATTTTTTTGTCATGTTAAGAAAAAGACAAGTTATATAATATTAAAGAAAGTGAGATGACATATTATTCAATGAATTGATCATGTCTTTTTCTTAAAATGACAAAAAATTTGGTTCATGTAACATAAGGGATATAACTCCCTTTTTGTTTATTATATTCTTTTTTTAATGCATTTAAAACTTTGTTTAAACTTTTTTTTTCAGGGGCACTGCCCCCAAATCCCCTTCACTAAATATTCGGACTAAATGTACACACATAAATAAAATTTTCTGAGTCCGCTAATGCCTACATAGAAATACATTTTTACACATAATCATTAATTTTTAAAGATATATTGAGCAAAGCCATTAGGATTGGTATAGTGATGAGGGATTTGGGTAGTGTATATTAGGTTGTGTTCGATTCCCATTTGTATATATAAAAAAAGATATGTTGAGGCCAATATTGTCAAAATCGAGTATCTACGTAAAAATGGAAGGGAATGGTAGAGACGTAAATTGTAGAAACGACACGAAACGTAAAGTTTCTACTACTTAAGGTCAAGATACAAAATTATATAATATGCATGTAAAAAAAATATTTCACACAAGTCACTACTCAAAATTCAATGAATAACTTCATATTTAAAAGATATAAATCTCATAACTATATAAGACATAAGTCCAAAAGCACAAAAAGAGTTTAATAACTTCTATAACCAAGTTCCAAAATATCAAAAGAACAAAGTTTAACAACTCCTAAATGGAAATACAGCGATCTCCCGGAAGGTTTGTTTTTTCTAGATAGCTGGAAGAAGATACTGTGCATTTGATTTGGGGGAATGAAAATAGAGTTTTTTTTTGTTATGTTTTTTTTAAAAAAATAAATAAAAATAAAGTGTTGACCTGATTCAGTTTTTTAATTTAAGTAAAAATGTAAAAACTTGCGTTTTTATGTTTTTACACTGAGTTTTTACCAATTTTTATTGGAGAGAGTTTTTACTTGCGATTTAACACGTATCACTTCAGTAAAAACGTAAAAACATAAATTTTTATGTTTTTACACTAATTTTTGACAATAATGGTTGAGGCAGAGCAAATGCCATGTTTAATTAACATTTACCTAAATTTTATCAATTATCATGCAAGAAAACGAAAGGTTAATTACGTGTGATTATGGTGATGAATAAAGTAGCTTTTATACTTAAAGGCTAGATTCTTATATTAAACACTGCGCGTGGATCAAATTTTAATTATTTTACTTAAATTAGCAGTTTTGAGTTGAAACCCGCTAATTATATTAAATATTTGACATGAACAATTTACTGTTTTTTTAATCCTAATTAACTTGAACCAAACTATTTGAGTAATCAATAAAACCGTAAAAAAACTCCAAAAAAAAAAAACCTTACATTATACGTACATAACATTAATTAGTGGATACCGTTGTCTAAGAGTTTGGTTTATATAGGTTCAAAATCTGTTAGTCGATATGTTAACTTTGTTAATGACAGAGAGAGACGACGTAAATCCCTCTAAAAACTCTTCAAAGAGGTTAGGGGGTAATCCTACTGAAATATCAGTATCTAACTTCACTCAAACTTTATATCTTATCAAAAAATTAAATAATGAGGTGTTTGGCAAGGATAATTTTTTGAGATTCTGTGAAAAGTGATAGTAGTAATCATATTTACCTACAATTGGTATAAAGTTTTTGAAAATTTTTCTGAGAATATAATTTTTTTGAAATTTTATTTTGTATATAATTTTCTAAAATATCATCCAAAAATACCACAAAATAAAAATGATAATCTTAACCTACTAAATAATTTTTTAACAATATTTCCGAAAAAATATTTTTCCAACCATATTTTTTGAATCCCAACTACGAAAAAATTTATTTTCTACTAAACATACCTTTACATGAAAGAGACAGCACAGCAAGCACTCCGTGTTGTTATGCCTAAATTGAAGCACATGCGCGCTTGTGTTGTGTGTTATGTTTATGAGAGTCACGTCACGAATTGCCTAAAGGGTATGCTCGTCATTTCACTGAATGCCTGTACTGTTGCCTACCGTATGTTACGTCCTTCCGAGGTATACGACAACATCCAACAGATCTGATACAGCTCTACAACAGGCAGTACATTCTCACGCGCTCCGAAAACACTTGTTTCGCACGCTACTTTGAGAAGCCGGGAACTGAAACGGCACGCGCGCGTGAGGACACTCCAAGCTCGAGGCGCCACCGCCAATGAACAAACAGAAGAGTGTTCTGTCGCCGAGTCATTTTCCATATTATTCACTAACCAAATTGGCAAATATATAAAATTCTTTTGGGTCAGTGATTTAATTTTATATTTATATTATTTAATTATTTGATTATTTGTTAATATTATTATTGATATTTAATGGGTTCCCAGCGCCTCGCTTCGCGACGCCACTTCCATTTGGTTTGCACTAAGTTATTTTTTTCAAGCGTAGAAAGAGAAACAAGAGAGAGAGAGAGATTGGAGTTGAGTGGTATTCCAACGTCGAAAGCAGGGAAGAGAGACACAAAGGTTTCTCGTAAAGTACTCTTGTTTCTTTCTCTCTCTGTGTATATATGTGACTCCTCTGCCTATTATCACTTTGTGAGCTTATGGTTGGTGTTGCCGTGTTGGAATTCTGGAACAACTTCTTTCCAATAATTAAGGTATGTGTATATGTACATGCTTTGTGAACTGTGTGCTTGATTTCAGTTGCTTCCTACGTGTAAGGATTAAGGAAGTTCTCCAATACTCTGAATAATTCTCTTCTTCCCGTGAGCCTTGTCATGAATTTTTTATCCACTTAGTTAGTTGTTCGAGTTCTGAGCATTTTCGTTGATTTGAAGAACTCTTCTTTGTTTTCTTTGGGTTTTTATTCTTTTCTTGATAAAAAAAGTATTCTTAGTGAGACAAATCTCTCTTATTTTCTACATCACTAGTGGGAGTGAAAAATTTGCAGGTTGAGATTTCCATAGAGATATTGCGGTTGCGATTGCGCAGCCATTTTTCTTTTTCTTTCTTGTACATAATTGCGCAGCCATTTCAGTTGACAATATAATAGTGTTATTCTATTTCTAAAGTCTAAGTAAAAAAAAAATAAAAAAAATCCTAATCCATATATGTAAGCCGCCACCAGTCCACCAAGTACAAGTTATTCAAGGGTCTTCCTATGAAAGTCCTGTTCGCTGTGTAAAATGTGCCAAATTGAATTAGTGGATACAGGACATTGATTTTAAGAGATTGTGGTTTTGAGTACTTCATTAATTCCGCGGTTTTTTTATTTTATTTCACTTATCTCGTTCTTATTTATATTTATAAAAAAGATTTCTGCACTGAACATTAAAATTTCAACAGCTTCAAGATTGCACTAACGTATAATTAGGATGCTGTTTTCGTTTTCATATTCGGAAGGTTAAGCATCGATATGTTTTGCATTCTTGAATCCATTTTTGAAAAGTAGTTCGATCACTAGGGTATTGCCCAACTGGTAACATGCATGCCTTTGCCCAAATCTCCCTCGGGTCCCAACTACTACATGCTCGGGGAAACGAATTCACATCCCTCATACCATAGTTCCCCTCTTTTCACTACTCTCAAAAACGTTGTTAAAAAAATTAAGAATAAAAAACCTACCTCCATACAGTTTTTCTTTAAAACAACGGAAAAAACATCGTAACTAGTTAAATTCAAAATTAAGTATCATATATATATATATATATATATATATATATATATATAATTATTTCTTTCGCCAACAATAAATCTTACATCGTGGAATTGTTATGATTCTTCGCATTTAATGTTTTCACTCACCTTTGTATTGTTATGATTTCAGGAACTTATTTGTTGGACGCCAAGTGACTGGATAGATATATATACTTATATATATATATATATATATAATAAAAAAGTCGTTGAATCATGACAATACAAATGTGTATATATAAAATATAAGGTAGGATAATCATATGACTATTCTAATCACCATTGAATTTAAATTCAAAAGTTTTTTCTTTCTTTATTAGATTTTTAAGTCTTACACCTGTAGTAAAAAAAAAAAAAAAAATCTCTCCCCATATATATATAATTTAGTTTTAAAAGATGTGGTTAGTTAGAGTCATCGGATTGGATGATGATGATCTTACTAGATCTCGAGATAAGTTTAGATAATATGGTGATGGCAATTTGGCATGGATGTATCTTGTGTGACGGTTAAAATCACAAAGGAAGGGGAAAAAATTGTGTCACATTCAAGTGATTTTTGGTCGGTTTTTCGAGATTCTATTGTGTCACCGAAGTGTTTGCTGCTTTTTTTCAACTCCGTGGCATAGTTTCATTCTCATTCCTTGCGGCACCATATCACATTGGCTTAGAAAGCCTGAGAATGTCTCTTTTCGAAATGGCATTTTATTATCGCTTGAAACTCCCGCCCAAAGTCACACCTTCCAATTTTATTTTTTCATAAAGAGTGAGCTAAATATTTGACCTATTTTTTTTTGTTTAATTTTTTCTACTTTCTTTTTTCTGTATTATTTATTGGGTTATTTTGAGTATCTTTTTTCAGAACATAGTAGTTGTATTTTTTATTTTTTTTTGTTGCATTGCATAAAAGGAGGTGTGGGATGGGTTGATTCTAGAAAGACTGAAAAAAACATAAGAAATATGCTAATAACATACACATTGTTCCCTTCACTCTGCTGTCCACTTCTAAAATGATTGCCTTTTTATTTTTAGTTACATTTTCCTGTCCATGCTTCTTTGTAAAGAATCTGCAGTAAAGTAATGGTTCTGTTCTCATTCTAACTAGACAAGAGCTTTTCACGTTGATGCAGGAAAAACGAGGCATCTCATTGACTGGAGAAGTTGGTTAAAAATGGCTACAGTTTGTTGGCCATATTTTGATCCTGAGTATGAAAACTTCAGCAATAGAATCAACCCTCCAAGGTTCAGAGCTATCTTACAATTTTGTTTTTCAATTATCTGCAAATTAAATAGCCTCTTTAGGAAAACTAATTAAAGGAAAGGGATTACTAAATCATCACAAAAATAAAATTTAGAGTTCATTTTCATGGATATTTAAACATTTTCTAAGTGTCACTTAACTTCTTCAATTCAGCCTTAAGCTAAACAAGAAAAAGGAACAACATATAAATTTGAAAAGGTTGCTTTAATTCCTCACTAGCCCTTGTTATAAGGAAGAGAACTTCAACTCAATCCCTAAAGGGAGTAAGGGACTCAACAGTTAAAATCTTGTAGAATTGGGGTTTATAATATGACTTCCTAATACCCAGAAAGAAGTGACTCTTTGATGGTAAACTCTGTTTTCACTTTGCAGGGTCTCTGTAGACAACGCTACTTGCCATAATTGTACACTGATCAAGGTATAATTTCTCGAAGTAATAAACTGTCTTTTTGGCCATGGCCTTGTTGTGAGTTGTTATTTGACCATGGAGCTTCTTAGCTATATTTTCTTCCTTTTCTACTTTTAAGTTCATAATAGAAGTCATTACAAATTTGAATTGAAAGCTTATTAAACGGATCAAAATCCTGTTAAAATCTCATCCACTTTAAGATAAAAGATATCTTTATTCTTTGTAAGTTATGCACAGCATAAGGCTACTGCATTATCATCAGACCATCATTTGTTATAGTTCTTGAAAGAATTATTTATTTGGAGATGAATGGATGCAATTTGCAACTTAATCTTATCTTCTGCTAATGGATTTTCAAAAAAAAAAAAAAATGCAGGTTGATAGTGTTAACAAACCTGGAATTCTGCTGGAAGTGGTGCAAATCTTGACAGACCTTGACTTCATAATTACCAAGGCTTATATATCTTCTGATGGGGGGTGGTTTATGGATGGTATGTTTGTGATTGAATTGTGTTTTCATTCAAAATGCGCTAACTACACAGATTTGTCCTGTCCATGCTTGTTATTAACCTAATTAAACGTGGTTAACTATTGAAAACTTGGGCTGCTATTAAGTTGCTCTTCATTATTGTCATTTTTTCTCTTGACTTGAGGGCATGAAGTATTTCTGTGTCTTTGCATCTGAGTACTAGGACAGCAAAAGTGCACTTGTATTTCTTCTAGTTACATCAAAATTGTCATGAAAATGAGTTTGACATGAGTTTCAGACAAGCATATATCTACCCTCTCTCTCTCTAACAGACACATACACACATTCATGCTCACGTGTTTCTGAACACTTCCTACCTAAATCAAGTATTCAAGCAGCTAACTTGCTCACCTACTGAAATACAGTATTTCATGTCACGGATCAGCAAGGAAAAAAGATTACAGATAGCAAAACCATTGACTTCATCGAAAAGGTATACATCTTCTTTCTCTACTGTATTTATCTGATATAGTCTTATATTAAGATATGGTAGCCATCTAACCACCATGTAAAAGACTTAAAAATTATAAGTGAAAAATTGAAGTAGCACAACTCTGTCAATATATATGCATAAACTTCCCAAAGGAGGAAAAGCTATGGGTGCAGTATAAACCAGACACATTTGTTTCTTGTTAATTGAAATCAGATATGACCCGTACCCCTATTCGAGTTTTAAGTTCCAAATGTAAATTCAAATTTGGAGGGAAATTATAAACTCACTAGGTACTTCTACTTCCATAATCACTATAAAATCAACTAGTGATATTACTCATTCATCTGACACTAAGCATAGCAATTCTATCAATATCAAATGATTAATTGAATTTTTTTATTCAATCTTACAAAATTTCTCATTTTTTGTTCTGGAATAAGAGTGTAAGAATTTGTAATTTTTTTGTTTTATCAAAAAACATGAAACATTAAAGATAAGGAAATGCTAATCACTCTTTGTTTATCGATCGAGTTCATGTGATAGTAGCCATCCTACCATTTCCTTAAAATGCATATAAAATACTGAGAGCTACTTGTTAACAGTTTTTCTTACAATAGGCTCTAGGACCAAAGGGCCAGAGCACAGAAGGGGTGAAGAATTGGCCAGGGAAACGGGTTGGTGTGCATTCTGTTGGTGACCACACAGCCATTGAGCTCATTGGCAGAGACCGCCCTGGTCTCTTGTCTGAGATCTCAGCTGTCCTTGCCAACCTCCATTATAACGTAGTTGCAGCTGAAGTTTGGACTCATAACAGGCGAATAGCTTGCGTCCTTTATGTCAGTGATACTACAAGCCAAGCTGTGGATGATCCTAATAGATTATCTCTTATGGAGGAGCAGCTCAACAATATCTTACGTGGATGTGAGGATGGTGAGAACGTTGCTAGGACTAGTTTCTCAATGGGTTTCACCCATATGGATCGGAGGCTCCACCAAATGTTGTTTGCAGATAGGGATTATGAAAGTTCTGGAGTGACAACAGATGTTGAATGTCCTCCCTCTTTCAGGCCAAAAATCACAATAGAACGTTGTGAGGAAAAAGAGTACTCAGTGGTTAGTGTCAGGTGCAAAGATCGGGCAAAACTCATGTTTGACATTGTTTGCACTCTTACTGATATGCAATATGTTGTTTTCCATGCCACAATCTCATCGGATGGCCCTTATGCATTGCAGGTATGTTACACTATACTCCATTCTGCATGTTAATTTATTAATCATGCATAGGACTTATTGGTTGAGTCTGCTGATTCAAATATCCATGGTACAACTAGTTGTTTGTAAGAAACTTGTCTGGTTTCTTAAGAATTTTTTTCGTAAGATAGAAAACATGACATTCGCTGGTGGGTGATTTGTGCCTTCAAATGGCCTAAGGAAGATATAGAATAATGTTTCATGGACAAAACAAATATCTTGATCCTTGTATGTCTAAATTTGCTATTGTTCAATATTTGAAGCGTGTATGGCGTAAGAAATGACCTAGCTGAAACAAATTCAAACTTGGATTAATTTAGGAAATCAGAAGTAGGGAGACCCAATTGAGAATTGTGGACTAAAGAGTTAATGTTGTACTTTTAGGAGTACTTTATTAGGCACATGGATGGATGCACCCTTGATACTGAAGGAGAGAAAGAAAGGGTCATCAAATGCATCGAAGCTGCTATTCAAAGAAGAGTAAGCGAGGTAATTTGCACACTTAAATGATTTCTGTATGCTTCTTTAACAATTACCAAAAAAAAGGACAGGGATTCTCAGCTTCGAGTTAGTCTTCCATGCTCAATTGGTTTTGTCTGGAAGTTTTCCAGTAATCTTTGGCTACTGACTTCATGTTTTTTGAGTGAAGTTTTAATGTTATTCTGCTATGTAATGTATGTGATTCTACTCCAGAAAGTTTTCTGAATTTGACAGAATTAATACATTTTGCACCTGCAGCTATCTACTTGTATTGTTACAATGGTAAGGCAGATACATTGGGCTAAGTTCCACTCAGATTGTCTTAGACCATCATATCCACTGGTGACAACGATGGTCTTTTGCCTTCAGTAGAGCTTAAGAATCTATATGCTCCATGTAATATCATCCAATTCTTAAAATACAAAAATGCAGATGAAGGAAAAGCTTGTGTTTTATTTTTAATCCCCAATCATATGCAAGTTGAGTTTTAAGACAAATTGTTCATCAGTCATGTGCTGGACAAGATATAATGTTCTTAATATGTCTTTTCTTCATACTGTTAATTAGCTTTCAAGAAATTTAGAACATCTTAGTCTTACTATTGATTCTCTGGATTCTGGACACAGGGTGTGAGCCTTGAGCTGTGTGCTAAGGATAGAGTTGGCTTGCTATCTGAAGTAACAAGGATTCTACGAGAGAATGGCCTAACAGTTTGTAGGGCAGGTGTATCAACAAGAGGGGAACAAGCACTGAATGTCTTCTACGTGAGGGATGCATCAGGGAAGCCAGTGGACATGAAAACTATCGAAGCACTTCGTAAAGAAATAGGAAAGACAATGATGGTGGATGTGAAGAGGGTACCAACCAATGCCAAAGCACCAGAGACCCGAGGATGGGCTAAAACAAGCTTCTTCTTTGGTAACTTGTTGGAAAGGTTCTTGACTTGAGAATCGTGCATTTGACCTGGTTGATTTGTAAAAGACACATCATAATGTATAGAAGAATAAAAGGCTGTTTGTGTCTCAGTCATGGACAGTGCTTGGACTTTGGCCCTTTAGTATCAGAACAATGCTTGTCACTTATATTCCCCCTTGGCCCATTCTATCCCTTCCCCATCTTTGATGTATCCTGTTTATATTTTCTATGCCTATTACCCCTTTCATGAATATGAAGTTTTTCTCTGGAACCATAGAAAGTGAAAATTAGTTTATATAAGACATCATTAAATAGGTCTTGTTAAACCAAATGAACACCACTATTGAATGCATATATCATCATGTCTACACTAACAAAGAGGCCCACTTGTAATTATTGACAAAATAATAATGTGATTTGAAATGGAAATATTAATCTTCAATAAATTACTCTACGGCAAAAAAAATATTAAAATATTGCATTTTATATAAATAATTACAAAATTCTAGTAATTTGAAACTTATTTATGAATGTATAGCAACCAGTGGCGTTCAAAGCAACCGATCGTGCCTAACTTCAGGTGCGAATAGGGGTTAAATCCTGTCCAAATTTGGGCGTGACTCACTAGAAGATGACATACGGCACAAAATTTTCAAAATGACCAATCACGCCCAAATGCAAGGCGATAAGGGTTCGATTGCGCTCAAATTTGGGTGCGACTCACTAGAGGATGACTCATAGCACATAATTTTGGAAGACCATAACCTTTGCTTAGATGTTCGAATCGAGTGATTATTTTTTATTATTCCACCTAACTTTTTGACACTATGCACAGGCAAATTCACATAATTGTGTAATTACACAACTTATTAACACAAACTATTCATAATCCACAAATCCTACATATAATGCAGAGATTCTGACAGTGCACAAAATTTTGGGAAACAAATTACTTTATGACAAGTTGAAAAAGTTTACATAATCTCTCATATCCATTAAAATAACGAGTTATGATTATTTGTTAGTGTTGGAAAATGAAAATAAGAATAGAAATTAAATAATTTCATTCACATAAATAAATGTGCCAAATGGGGCACAAGGAATCATTTTTTTGAAATATTTTTTGACCAAATCTTCTTCGGAAGATACGTAGATCTTGAAAAGTTACGTGGAATGAAAAAATAAATCACTCAATTTGAACACCCGAGCCAAAAATTACGACTTTCCGAAATTTTATAGTAAAACTTCTAAAATTTTGTTCACATGTCATTACTGTGGGAGTCGCGCCCAAATTTTGGTCGAACTCAATCCTATTCGAGCTTGGATTTAGGCGCGATCGGTGGAGCCTCATTTTGGGTGCAACTGATTATTACACATTCGTAAATAGGTTTTAAATTGCTATAATTTCACAATTACTTATTTAAATTATAATATTTTAATTTTTTTGCAATTTCTTCGTCGATGAGAATATATAAATTTGTAATAAAATATGGGGTATTTTTTTTTTTTTGTAACAGAAGAAACAAACCTTATTCATGCACAAACATGAGCTTGTGGGATTCACAAGTCAAAAAGAGTAAATAATAATAATAGGGTTTTATGTTTATCGTGTAACATAACACAACTTCACTTTCCTACACACACATTAAAGAAGTGTGATTCACATATTTCTCTTTCTATTTCTCTCTCCCTTTTATTGTGTATGTTGGAAACAAAATTTAAGTTATGTAACATAACATTAATAAAATCCTTAATAATAATAATGATAAAAATAAAAAAGAAGCGCAGCATTCGATGAGTATGCAAGTGTTGTTTTCAAGTACTTGCAGGGAAAAATAGAATCTTTGAAGTTTGACAAAATACGTGTACTTTCCTAAATTTTTGCCAGTAAATTGCACAGATATTACCAAAAGCGTAAATTAAAAGTTAACAACTCTCACAGTCATATTGGTTTGACTAGTTAATATACCTTTTTTTTTTCATTTTTGTGAATTTAGATGTACTTGCTATAAAAGTAACGCGCAACGATACATACAAGTATACAACTGGATTTCTTGTCCCTGTGAGCTGCCAATGTCCACTACTGTTTTGAAACGCAAGCAAAGACAGGTAACGGATGGCCATGCAAGCAAATCAAAACCCCTTACTTGAAAACTATTTCTATTTTTTTAGGGAAAAGATATGTTTACAAATTTTTTTATAAATTATATTAAATATGATCGGTTATATATTCTTAATTGAAATATAATCAATCATATTTAATATAATTTATAAAAATTTATAAATTTTTATAAATATAACTTTTATTTTCTTTCATATACCCACGCGCGCAATCTCATCTCCTAAATGCATAAATAACAATTAAAATACCCATTAAATTGCAGTTCGTAGTTTTTAAATGTGACAAAGACTTTGTGCTTGTATCAAATAACAAGCATTTATATTAAAATGTTTTTTTTTGGGAGCGCGGGCAGGCCTATTAATTAGCCTGTTACTTGCTTAGAATATCACGTCAAGTAATTTCGAAAAAAAGAGTTCCATCGTCTAAAGGAGAATTTCTCCTTAAGATTCTCGTATACCAAAAAAAAGAATATTTCACAACTTTACAGGAGACAAAAAAAAAAACATCTGGTTTCATTTACTTAGCTCAAGTGCTCAAGGTTTTATGTTCTAATTTCGTTTTTTTTTTAATACATTTTCTAATTTTTTTTTTTTTTTTGGAAATAACATTTTCTAATTTCTTGCTACTTAGCTTAATGTATGTTATGTACATAATCATTGAATTTAAATAAAAATATATGAATGCTGTTAACTAGATATTGTTTAAGAAATATTTAATACCCAATTAATAATGTTATTCAATAAATAAACTTTATTAATACTTTTAAATTTATATAGTTAAATGTTTTCATTTTTATTTTAATTTGTTAATCAATATTCTAATGGAATTTGTTAACAAACTTGTTTCTTAAAAATGTAAAGGGATCTATGACACCTAAGAGGACATAAGCTGCTCAATTATTATCTTCATGAATTTTAAATTTGTCTATGATATGTAATGTCTTTTCCACCTCAATCATAAATCATGCTTTCTTACTTTCTTTACTGGTATGTTGATGGATCGCACCGAGACGAAAACAATGCAAGATTCACAACGTATGTAGACGTCATTCCTAGTCACAAAGGAAACCATCGTTTTTTTCAGCTCAAACCTCAAACGCATGTTGGAATATCCATAAAGATAAGATTAGAAATGCAAGGATAAAAGCCAGGCACTGAAAATGGAACGCAAACTGAGAAAAGCTGCATTAACTCACTCATCAAATGTCTAGACCCAACAGCATTCCCTCCACTATATATTTAAATGTATTATATAACTATTTTATATAAAAAAAAATGTATTTATAACTTGAAAGCTAATCCTACGCATGGTTTATTTTAATGTTTAGATTTAAAGGTAAGTTTATTAACTTATTTACAAGTCTTTGTTTTTTGGGAAAACGACTTATTTACAAGTTTTAATACAAAATTAGTTTTTAAATAGATTTTAAACCAAAAGCTAAGTCAACTTATAAAAAAAACTATGTAATCTAACGTGCAAACCTAGCTCTGATTTTATATATGTTTTAAAAAACAAACCTATCTCATTAATTTGACATAAAACATAGGGTGGTCTAACGTTTCGGTGCCTAAAATGTGCAAACGCTCTCTATAAATTGGGACCATAGCACTCCCTTACCCTAAAGAAATTATACTTGTTTTGGTTTATATAAATTAAACTCATCTTTTTGTCAATAGAAATCGTATTAGTCATAACTTTCATTTCCTTTGACTTCATATAAATTTAAAAATTGTTATACAAAGGAGAAAAATTAAATACAAAAAATTATCCAAAGAAAATTTCATATAAAATGTTTTGGGGGAATTCATTAAAGTAGAAGGAAATTAAATTTGAATTAAACATTATTGGAAATTATTCCATTCAGCACAAGACGAATGCTCCCAAAACTCCAAAAAGTGTGGATCCATTTAAAAAAAAAAAAAAAATTAATGAAATAATTAAAACTCTAAAATAAGGGAAAATTGATGACTTAAGCGTCTGTTTGATTATGTTCCTTATGTTCTGATTTTTTTGTTCTTAAAACTGTTTTGTAAAATAGTTATGGAAATATATGTTTTCTATATTGATTTGTTTTGAACGTTAAAAGTTAAAAGACAAAATAAAAATGACTCATACATGTTCTCTAAATTTGATTCTAAAAAAAAAATTAATTACAATGTTTATTTTTTTTTTTTTACAAAACAAGGCTTAACAAACGATTTTCTTTGTTCTAAATATAAAAAAAAAAAAAAACTATTTTAGAAAAATAGGGCCTTGAATTTTGTTCGCGGATACTTATTCTTTGAATTAAATAACCACTTAATTAAGATTATGGCTTTTTGACCCTTTTATCCTTCATTAATTAATTAATAATAATTTTGTCCCTTATTAAAAACTATCTACCAATCTGTCCCTCTTTAATCGATTAACTTGAAGATTTAATCGATTCAAGGGTCAAAACTGACAAAAATGGTTGACTTGAAGATTTAATCGATTAAATCTTCAAGTTAATCGTTTAAATCTCTCTCTTAATTGATTTAATCGATTAAAACTTATATTTAATCGATTAAATATATATCCCAAATGAGCGTGAAAGCATTGATATTTAATCAATCAAATCAATGCTTTCACGCTCATTTGGGATATTTAATCGATTAAATATAAGTTTTAATCGATTAAATCAATTAAGAGGGATATTTAATCGATTAAGAGGGATATTTAATTGATTAAATCTTCAAGTCAACCATTTTTGTTAGTTTTGACCATTGAATCGATTAAATCTTCAAGTTAATCGATTAAAGAAGGACAGATTGGTAGATAGTTTTGAATAAGGAGCAAAATAGTTATTAATTAATTAATGAAAGGTAAAAGGGTAAAAAAGCCTAAGATTTATACCTAATCACTTTTTGAATTTTTTCATAACTTTTTGAATTTTTTTAAAAAAATATATGATTATCATAAATTTGTTTAAATATTTTTTTCAGAATGACAACCAAACTACCCCAAATTTTATTAAGGAATAACTCCTGTTGGATTTTAATAAATACATCAATATTCACTCATATCTATTTTTCATTATTCAGTTTATATTCAAATCACTTTTAAATTAAAACATTTCGATGATAATATTCTTTCTTTCTTTTTAGTTTTCAGTTGTTCAATGGTCATTGCCCGCTTATTATAACTTTTTTTATTTAAAAAAATATTTAAGAAGTAATTGTTAGCATAAAGTAACTATATAAATAAAAAAAATTTAGAAATATTTCAATCGGTTCATCGCTTTGCAACTAGTCTGATTTGAGACGAATCCTTAAATTAAGGTTTTAAACCCCCTCTCAAAGACAGTATTGAAAAGAATTGAACACGTACTCTTACCCCAGTATATAAATAATTTAGCTCTCAACCTCCCATCTTTATTTAGTGGGCTATCTAAAATAGATAGAAGGACCTTAAATCATCCTAGGCAATATAAGAAGGAGGACAAAAAAATAAATTAAAAAAGAGAGAGAATACAACTGTAGTATGCTTTAAAAAAATTAATTAAAAAATTACTTTAGAATAATAATATTCAGGATTAATGGGTTGAAATATCATTAGCAACAAATAAAAAGGATTTGGAAATTTTTTTATTGAAAAATCTTATTTTCATTATTTTATGAGTTATATATATTTTTATTTTTTTCATAAATATAATCATTTACGATAAATATTTTTTTCATTTTTAATATCACATTTAATAATTGTAAATTGTAAATAATAATTAGTAGAATTGATAAATAAAGTTAAAATTTTTCCTCTTCTTTAAAGTTTTGTCTAGTGTTTTTTTTCAATCAAACTTAACTGTTTTTTTAATAAATATATCAACGGAAATCATGCTCTCCCGTGGCAGGAGAGTAAATAATTTTTTTACACAAATTTATTTTCTGTGTCAATTAATTTTTTTTAATATAAAATATGAGATTCACATCTTATTTATCTCTATTTTTGTTCTCTCATATTTTTATGCAACATAAAAAAACATCAATCCATATATCAATTTAAGTCGATAAGTTAAAATAAATTATCAAAATACAAATTTAAATCATTATATTAGAACAAAATCAAAGATATATATAGTGATAGCCATTGATGGTGACCCATTTGATTATATTCCCATCAGTCACTTTATATGATCCCAGTGCGTTATATAAAATTTTCCGTACCTTGTTCGCTAATGTCTTGAATAGAAGTTAGTTGATCGAGTTGAATAAAACAAAAATGTTATGATTGGAAATAATAAGAAAATATTCAATTGAATTATCAGAATCATAATTATAATTGTAGATAGTAACATTATTCAAATGAATGTCCTATAGCCTATAGGTTAGGCATGCTGCTTTCACTGCTTTGGTAGATTTTCATTGTGTGGATGATGTAATACTTTACCTCGCAATATGCACATATTAATGGAGTAGTGGGGATGAGAAGGGTCCAATTGCATAACAAAAAGGGATGAGAAGATTTGAAAATCAATTTGGATTCAATTTCTATCAAATATATTTTTGAAAGGGATAAATTTTTTTAATTATAATTAAGTTTCAACTCAGAACTAATTTTATAACTTACTTAAAGAATTAAAATTTGTTAGAATACGGAAGGAGCGACAACTTGTCTTAAAAAAATAATTAATATCAATATAAAAAAATTATTTTTAATTAGGAGCTTTCTGCAAAAATTTCGAAGCATATATACTCCTGTTCCATTATCTACTGCTCCCTCTTTTTAAGATATTTCATAATTCCAGATTTCACCCATTCAGTTATTTATTTTTTAGTCCTTTATCTATTGCTATTTTCGTTTTAGTCCAGTTTGAACAGAACAACGAATTTCAAGAGGACAATTAATTTCACGGTTTTCTTTTATGGAAAGGGATTTATAAATATAACGTTACAAGAAAATCACTACATCATCTCACACAAACACCAAAAATGGGCCCCATTGTTGGTTTTTCAAAAACAAAATAAAAAAATAAACATCACAAGTATCGATGAATCTGCAAAAAAATGTCCGACTTTTCTGTTGCACGAGGGATTGAAAGCCCTTATGGAAATCGTCCTAGTCTCCTAGAGACGACGAAATATTTGCACAATGACCAAAGTACAGAGATTTAGAGGATGAGTTTTTTTTTTTCAAAAATTATTATTATTTTTTAAAAAAAGGTACTTTTTGAGAAAAGTTTGTTAGGATGCTTGCTTTTAAAAAAAGCAGAAGTCATAAAAAAGTCAAAAAATTTCTTTTTTCGAAAACTAAAAATTTTAGCTTTTAAAAAAAGCAGAAGTCTAAAGCCAAATATTCTTTTTCAAAAATCAAATATTTTTAAAAAAATCTAAATAGCTATAACTTTTATAGAAAATACTTTTAAAATAAGAAAGTGATAAAAAGAATTTTCTTAAAAAGTCAATACAAACGAGGACTTGTTTGATAAGTGTTTTGTAAAATAATTTTTTGATTTTTTGAAAAAAAATAAAAAAAACCCCGTTTAGTAAGCCTTATTTTGTAAAAAAATATATATTAAAAATTGTAATTGTTTTTTTTTTAAAATCAAATTTAAAGAATACATTTGAGTACCTTTTTTTTTTTGAATTTTAACTTTCAAAACAAAAAAATATATAGAAAATAACTATTATACAAAAAGTTTTAAGAAAAAAAAAATCAGAACACAATCAAACATGCCCTTATTCTTATAATTATCTAATTTCCAAAACATGGATAAAAATAGCTTCGAAATCCTAATCATAATTTTATCAATTGCAACCTAAGGATAAGCTAATTAGGATACATGGTTATTTTATATCGGTGAAAGATTTTCAATTTTATTTACAAAAAAAAAAAAAGATTTTCTATTTAATTATTGATTTCATTTGTAGTTAACATCTTACATACCTTACCAAAAAAAAAATCTTACATAATCAATAAATCAAAGTGATTAAATATAATTAAATCAACGGATGAAATCATTTATTATTATTATTATTATTATTATACCAATATAGATTTATACTTTATATATATATAACTTATGAAATGTAGGATGTTTTATTAAATAATAAAAAATGGTAATAAGGTCTTTCAAACAATTTTTTTTAGCTCTAGGCTTGTAAATAAATTTTACACCATAACCTCTTCATTAGGTTATAGATATAAAAAATTTCACGATCAATGATTATCTGATGGATGGATGCATCATTAGTTTTAGCTGCATTTAAGAGGTATCCAAATAGATATATTTCTTTTTCTTTTTTCTTTTTGGAAATCATAGATACATTTCTTCAATAACTACTTGATCAACCTCCACAATGGACATGCACCTATATTAACGGATACGCATTAAACAATTGCATCAAAATCAATTATTTTGCATCAAGCTTAAAACACGTGACTGGATGTATATTCCAATACGCCACTGCCAAATAAGGGGTCGAACGCTCTTTCGTGCCAAATGCCTTCTTGTTACGACTTACGGCAAAAGAAATTAAAATGCCACCAAATACGAACGAGCTATCAATTTTTTTTTAAATACATTTAAATAATTTCTCCCGCCTCTAATTAATAATGTAATATAATTAATAATAATTTTTTCACAATACTTTTGTGTTTTTTTTATATTTTGGTTATTTTTATGATTCTTTAGAAGTTGTTGTCCCTCGTGTATTCTAATTAATTAACACAAAATTTAAAATTATAAATTTTTGAAATAAATTTTTTGACTTAATAATCTAAGAAAAATCATTCTCTCATTTTACATAAGATAATTATTTCATGCTCTTCTCATATAAAAAATTGTGCTACCATATTTATTTATTTTAAATGTCTGATGGGCTTTATGTCAATAAAAAATATTTATTTCTAACAAGATAAGAAAATAAAACTCCGTAATCTAATACCTATTTGAGATTCAGTAAAACGTTGTATTTAGATTCTGTCAAGGCATGATATCGTACTATTACAAAATATAGTTTTTTTTTTTATGCTGAAATATTTTGTTAAAATATGAGCTAAACCAATCACACTGTTGAATTGAGAAATTATAAACATGGACCTGATGTTATGTTTAGACATAATAACCACCTGTATAGCCACTTCTTAATTTGATTAGAGATTGATTAACTAATAATTAGAGAGGTGACCTCCATCCTTGTGTGTAATTGTGATTGTGATGTAGGATCAGAATCAGACTGAGGATTACCATTATCAATTGAAGGCACAAAAATCAATCCAAAGTGATAGCGTTACGGCAAGCAAATACTGTTTTCTCTTCTGTCTCTCCCATTCCTCATGTCGTCATCATGTCCTTGAATTGCTTGATGCTCAGATGCTTAGCAAAACCAAGCATTTTCTGCTTTTTGAGGCGGTTTCGTTTTTGTACACACAGAAGCTTCTACACACACCCCTCCTAATTTCAATTACCTTTATTCCATTTCCTCTCCACTCTCCTTCCTTCCTTTTTTTCTCTCCCCTTTTTTATATCAACAATCATTAATTTTAATTTTCAATTCCAGAAAAGAAATAAAAGAATTTCCTTTTCTTTTCCTCCTCTCATTCTTTTCTTCTTTTACTAGTCTTACGAGTGCTGACCTCCATTCTCATCAAAGTAGAGAACTTTACTTGGGACCCACTTAACCTGTCACTTCCCCATTGATCATGATTACACGTGGCAGCGTACACATCTCTTACCTTTGTTTCCATTCCTCCCTCATTTTCTACCCCCTTCTTCATATATGGACTCTTTCTCCTCATACTTCATATTTCAGAGAAGCACAACCAAGCTTCTCTGTTGAAAAAAAGAGGCGAAAAAAGGGGCAAATATATTGGTTTTGTTCCTATCCTTTTAGCTACAGAGGTAATGATCACATTCATAGCTCTATCATACCTTGGTTTTCTGCTGTTACTATTTGTTGATCAGAGGAAAAAGTTTTGATTTTTATTTTGCCCAGTTTCGTTTCTGATTTCTTCCTTCTTCTTTCCCCCTTATGATTTCAGTTTCTTGATTTCTATTTTATGTGTGCCAAATTTGATAAAAAGAGGCTTTTTGATCATCATTCTTATGACCTGTTTCTGCTGCACCGTTTGTGCCAAGTTTGAAACTTTTTGCAAAGTCTTAATCATGTAATTGAGAAACATTTGGTGGGTATTTATGTAAGTGCAGAATCCTCCTTATAAGATTAGACCCTTTTATTTTTTTTATTTTATTTTCTCTGTATTATAATTGTAAATATCTTTCTGTTGCTTTCTTTGCTAATTAATTGCCTTGGAGGGGCCTTGGACACATGGATTTTTCTTTGTTTGTGGTGATTATCGTTTTGCTACAAGTTGTTTTCCTGAGACCCCAACACTTGGAATTTGCTCTTTCTTATCCGTTTTTCCTTTTCCGACAGCTGTGAAAGTTTATGCTTTTTGTTGGACTGAAATTGAAATGGTTGGCAAGGATAGCCTGAGGACTGAGGACTTTAACTTGTGCTTTGAGAAGCTCATGATGGATGCTGATAGCGGGAACAGTGAGAAAGGAGGGAAAATGAAGGCTGGGGTTATCACCGAATGGAAGGATATTCCTGTGGAGCTTTTGATGCAAATTTTGTCGCTTGTGGATGATCAGACTGTGATCAAAGCTTCAGGAGTTTGTCGTGGCTGGAGAGATGCAATTTACTTTGGCCTTGCCCGTTTATCACTCTCTTGGTATATTACTCTTCTCTCTTAAGGCTATGTATGTATGCTTTTGTAGGCCACGAGAACTTGACATGGTCGATCCATGATCCTTTTCTATTTCTCTCCAATTTGGGATTCTAATGAAGTTTTCCTGGTTCCTTTGTGTGAATTGATTGTGCTATGCTACAATTCCTGATGCTGGAACCATGTTTTTTACATACTTTTATCATGAATCCATGGGTTAGTCTAGATTAGAGAGGTAGCAACCTATTCATTCGGATTTAAAGTATTTGTTTCGTGTCTTCTTCTGCTTGGCATAAAGCTGTATTGCTTCCTTTGTTTAGGGGGTTGGAGAATTCGCTTGTTTGATAGCAATGTCAGTAGAAATGACATAATTTCAATTATTTAAGAATGAGCTGGGATTTTCTGATGAGATTATATGTAACATGGTGTTATACAAGGTTTTTTAACTTGGTAAGCCAAGTTAATATTTGCCAAGGTGTTCTTGGGACTGTACTGTTAAGCTGTGAAAAACAGAGGCTGTCTGAACCGGATAACTTATGTTAATTGTCTTGCCCCCAACGAATTGAAAGATACAACTGTTGTGTGCGTGTGTGTTTTCTTTTGCTGATGCCGTTTTTGTTTTTATATTTTGTTTCCTCCTTTGAACTTCTGAAATTGGCTTCCCCTAGAATTACATTTCTTGAATAATCTACGAATTCTTTAATATTAATAATGTTTCTTGGATATCATGTCTTACCAGTTTTAACTTTGATGTCAATTTGGTATTTGACTTTTTTGTATGGTGACTAAATCTTTTTCATAAACATAAAATTCCTTCATTTGCCCTTACCCCCAAACTTGGCACTCTTCTGAGAAATCTTCATAAAGTAGTGGTTTTGCAGAATACTTATTTTGGTTCAGTGGTATGAAGTGCTTGTAAGCCCCATTTTGGGAAGAGAAACTGATGTATTTTTTCTTTTATTTTTTTTTTGCATTATTGTGGATTTTTGTGTAACTTAGTAATAACAGGATTATGTCATTCCTCTCTGTCTTCAGGTGTAGCAAGAACATGAATAACTTGGTCCTATCTCTTGTTCCTAAATTCACAAAATTGCAAACTCTAATCCTTCGTCAAGACATGCCTCAACTAGAGGATAATGCTGTTGAGACTATTGCAAATTGCTGTCATGACTTGCAGATTCTGGACCTCAGCAAAAGTTTCAAGCTTACTGATCGTTCACTGTATGCTATAGCCCTTGGTTGTCGTGATCTTACAAAACTAAACATCAGTGGGTGTTCAGCATTTAGTGATACTGCTCTGGCTTACCTTGCCAGTTTCTGCAGAAAACTGATAGTTCTTAATCTCTGTGGATGTGTTAAAACAGCATCTGATACTGCTTTACAGGTATGGTTGTGGTAGATTAGTCTGTTCTCATAATCATATTAGAATTAATATGGCTTCGAGTCATAACCCAATAACTAAATGAAACACAGGCTATTGGACAATGCTGCAATCAGTTACAGTCTTTGAACCTTGGATGGTGTGATAATGTTGGAGATGTTGGAGTTATGAGTTTAGCACACGGGTGTCCTGATCTTAGAACAGTTGACTTGTGTGGCTGTGTCCGTATAACAGGTATTTTATTCAAAATTTCAATAATTTAAATCTGGAAAATAGGAATATCTAAATTGTAATGCACTAGTTCAAACTCATCTAATATGGTTTGAATGCTGTTATGTCTCAATGATCAGTGCAATTAAGACTTTGATGTTGTTATTGCAGATGATAGTGTGATTGCTTTGGCAAACAGATGCCCCCATCTAAGGTCCCTTGGCTTGTACTACTGTAAAAATATCACGGACAGAGCAATGTATTCATTGGCACAAAGCAAAGTGAACAACAGGATGTGGGGATCTGTGAAAGGAGGAAATGATGAAGAAGGGCTAAGGACTTTGAACATTAGCCAATGCACATCACTCACCCCTTCTGCTGTTCAGGCCGTGTGTGACTCATTCCCTTCTCTTCACACATGCTCAGGGAGGCATTCACTCATCATGAGTGGCTGTCTCAATTTAACATCTGTGCATTGTGCATGTGCTGTCCATGCACACCGTGGAATCAGCACTTTCCCTTATCCAGCTCATTAAGCACATGCTTTGGTGTAGAAGACACTCACTTCGAGGAAGTGCTCTTGAACGGCTCAGAGAAGTGAAATAAATGTAATTCCCTCCCTTGCAGATATTATATGACTGTGTTGAGCTATATAAGAGACTTGAGCTGCAAATGAGCACAGCCTTTTGTTGTTGAAATCCTGTAGATTATGTAGAACATCTTGAACTTGTGTCTTGTAATTTGTTTTGTTTTAATCTCCTAATATGTGAAGCTTGGACACAAAAAACTGGTTTGTTCGGTGTCAGCTATATAAATTTATGGAAAGACCTGGACTAAAACTATTTCGTAGGAAAAGTGATTGTGTTATGTTATAGAGATTCGTTTTGCGTGCTGAAGTTTTTTTTTTTTTTTTTGCTGCGGGCTCCACAAAATATTGTGTGTGTAGGAAATTTTTTGTGATCATGTTAAATGATAGATAATAAACCCTTTAATTATTGTATGGTTTTATGAAGGATGTGCACATGATATTTTTCTGTGTCCGTGCATCCCTTCAATTAGGGATGTGGTTCGAATTGAAGTGGATTTTTTTAAAAATTGAACTGAATTGGTTTAAATAGTTCGGTTTGGTTAAAAACTGATTTGGTTCGGAAGTAGTTTGGTTTGGTTGAAAACGGTTCGGAACCAACCGGTTTGGGTTGATTATCTTTTGAAAAGAAAAAAAAATTAAACATTTAAAAAATAAAGTTATAAAAATTAATTTTGTTCGGTTTGAAAACGGTTTGGTTCAGAAATAGTTCGGTTCGATGCAAAAACTGGTTCGGTTCTTAAGCTGGTTTTAAAAATCGGTTCAGTTCATGAACTGGTTCTTTAAAAATTGGTTCGGTTCATGAATTGATTTTTAAAAATTGATTATTTTAAGAGCGGTTCGTTTCATGATTCAATCCAATTTTTTGATTATTTTGTACATCCCAAACTTCCGTCCGAGAAAACTAAGATTGAGTTAGCTTTTGACTAAGATGCTAAGCTAAAGCAAATTGCAAAGAAGAAATCATGTACTGGTGAAAAAGAGAAAAATAAAATAAGTTTGACTATCTTGTGAACAGTTTATTCATTGAAAATTGAAATTATGGAAAAAAAAAAAAAAATTAAAAAAAAATTGCTTAAACTATTGTTTGAGCAAACAATGGTTTTGCCATTCTGGTCGGCTGTAGAATTTTGTTGGCCTATGCTAACAATAGATTGGCTGATTGAGCAAGGGCGTAAGAGAATAATTTTGTTTTTCTAAAAAACACTGATGTATTTAACGGTAGTTTCTTCGTTATAATTATATGTTATAACTTAATTGGATTAATTATAGGAGAATTAAAAAAAAAATTCAAACCCAATTATGATGCCTCAAAATATTATGTTCCCTGTTCTGTGACGTTAATATTTCTTCTTCCATTTAGCATCAAGAACAAAAGGAGACTTGTCTGCTTTTGTGTCAAGTAGCCTGACACCAGAGAGACGAGATGAAGAATCTTTGTTGCATTACCAGTTTTAAAACCTTGCCCTATTCTCAGGTCGATCCCACCAGGTCATTGACCTTTCTCTTTGAGGATAGAGGTCAGTAGTTAAATCTTATATGTATGTTGATCTCTTTGACACCTAAAATCTACCGGTTGAATCCATGATTTCCGAGTTAGAAAGGTCAGAGAGGTCATTGCATCTTTTTTTTGTTGAAAAAAATATACACATTTACACGTAAAAAGACGTTGTTTGGTATGTAAAAAATAAAAATAAAAACTCATTGCTGCCTAGATCTAGAATTATATTCGTTTTATTCTTATTATTAATTAGGCTAAAGTATTTTTTTTCCAGTTATTGGAGATAAGTTATCTCCAGGGACATTTAAAACTATATTGCTTTTAATTAATAAATGATGTTTTGATAAAATTTATATTATAAGAAAATAAATGAAATTATAGAAACACCTTTCATTAATTCAAAACGACGTAGTTTTGAGATCACTGGAGATATCTTATCTCCAATGAACGAAGAAATGTTTATTCTAGTGGCCAGTCATCAAAATTTATAATATAAAAAATAAACAAAATTATAAAAACACATTTCATTAATTCAAAACGATGTAGTTTTAAAAATTACTAAAAATAACTTATCTCCAATTATTTGAGAAATACTTTACCCTATTAATTATTGATGGTAAATAATGATCCTAATTTATCATTTACACGAGTCGTTAAATACAATTATAATTAAATAATTAATAATGTAAGCTAACAAAACATTAAAAAATGACTCTCTTTTATTTTACATAAAATTATACTACCTATACTAAAAAAATTGAACCATGGTTTGGCGACGAAAGCTCTTGCTTGGTCCCCTCTATCCATCCCTAATTAATATTATTAATTTTTATAAACATATTATCTGTCTATTATTTTTCCTTCACAATATCATTAAATGATTGCGATGTAAAGCTTCTTATTAACTCTTTTTTAGTATTGATCCAGAGCGTTCTAAACTAATCCAAATCCAAATTAGACGTTACTATGGAATTCTAATTTTGTCAACTTATCAAAGGACTAAAAAGGAAAAGAGACGTGGAATTCACGGGAAGATTTGAGTGTCGGCCAAGAGTTATTCCACGTGTAAGTGGATAATAATGAAACGTTTTCATATATAGAGTAATATTACTCTCATGTAACATGAGAGGGCACGATTTTTGAAGTGAGGAAAAAGGAGATAACTATGTAAAATGAAAGTAGTATTTCCGTATTATATAAGCATAAAACATGATTGTTCATCAACAATAGGGGATCACTTGTTTCTCTGATATGGCTCTTGAATTTTGATCATCCACATCAAATATTTTTAGTAAAATAACATAAAAAACCTAAAAAGGTCCTACCGGGAGTCGAACCCAGGTCGCTGGATTCAAAGTCCAGAGTGCTAACCACTACACCATAGAACCAGTTCTGATGTATGACTAACCGCAAAATATATAAATAATTAGAAAGCTATTGCATTGTATTTTCAAATTTATTTATTTTTTTTTAAAATAACTTCTGTTTTCCAGTGCAAATCAAACAGTAGTAAATAACTGTAGAAAATTTATTTTTTCATGAAATAAATATTATTTATGGGGATAATCATTTATATCAAAACTGTTTTTTCACGACTATATTGTTTTTAATTGAATTAAATAACACTTAAAGGTCATTTGTGATTTGAAATAGCTCTTTTTGGATATATCTATTAGTTTGAGTACTGTTGGACCTACAGTGGGCAGCTCTCCCAATGTGGCTATTTACACCATAGAAAAGTCAATGACGTGCTTCAACAAGAATCAAATAACTTATTTTTAACTCATCTAATTGAAAAGAATTATTAAAAAATTAATAAGTAAGAGAAAAGTGTTGTTATTTTAAAAAAAACCTTAAATGTCAATTTTTAATTTAAAAAAAAGGAAGGGGATAAATAAAAGGGTTTTATAAGAGTTATGTTGTAGGAAAAGTGATTGTGTTATGTTATAGAGATTCGTTTTGCGTGTCGGAGATTTTTTTTTTTTTTGATTTTAAAAATTGCGGGTCCCACAAAATGTTATGTGTGTAGGAAAATTGTTGTGGTCATGTTAAATGATAGATGCAAAACCCTAAATAAAAAGGACAAATGACTTTAGTATGTGTCTTCCACGGGGTATATTGCTTGTTCTAATTTATGAATTAAGAAAAATATTTATGTGTAGAAATTTTTTCGTCATACTTATAAAAAAATTGAGTGGATCTCATTGTAAAGAAAAGAGATCAAAATTTTATTGGGTCCACTCACTTTTATATGAGTATGATAGAAAAAATTTCTACAACAAAAACAAAAATGTTATACCCTTATGTATGTCATGCTTTTGTTTATAAAAAGTTGCAAATTTTAATTTGTTAGATTAAGTTCTTTAATTTTAACCCATTGAGAATAGATATTAATTTTTTCTAAAAAAGAAATCATTCATAAACTTTTGCTTTGTGCTTTAAAAGATTTTAACAAATCCTAAATAATAATAATAATAATTATAATATAATAATAGTGATAATAATTGTTCAATCAAACAACACTCTAAAATATAAAATTTAGTCACAAATTATTATAAATAATATTCAAAAATACATAAATCAATCGTAAATTATTACAAATAACACTCCAAAAATATATAAACCAACCATAAATTGTTATAAACAACACTATAAAAATATATAACTCAATAATAAGTTATTACATATAGTAATTCAAAAATATATATTTCAATCACAAATTATCATAATTAACATTAAAAAACATTCCACATGAAAATGTTTTAAAAAACGCCTATTAGGAACAATTTAATAAAATTACAAAATTGGATTTACATATATTAGAGGCGGAATGGTGGTTCGTGGATAGAGGCTTCTATGTGAAATAATATCTTAATTTTGGGTTTTGATGATAACTATACGTAATGGGATTTGAAATGTTTTGCGGGTCAAGTTCATAGGTCATGGGTAGAGATATTGTAGGGATATTGTGGTTTTGGTGGTTTATGTGTAACACCCCGTAGTACTTTGATGTGCCTCAAGCAGGTGTAGTTTTCTGTGTTAAAATTGATAAGAATCGAGTCATAAAAGAGCAACTTATATACATATTTGCTTCTTATATTGATTCTGTCTATGTCAATAATATTTCTCACCTATTGGTTGTGTTTATACAGAAAAAAAGGAGTGGAAATTATAAATTATAAAAAGCCTGTTGACGCGACTCCACACGAGTGTATCACAGTACAATTTCCAGCAACATGGTGCGGACCGGCACCACACTGACGCGAACCCGCGCCAGTTTACGAATTTTACACCGGAACTTTGCAAGTGGCGCCAACTGGCGCCAATTTCCTAAGAAATACAAGTCAACAGTGGCATGGCGCCACCTAGTGCCAAAACCAAGCCAACTAGCGCCCAAATGAAGCTGGGTAACGCCACTTTTGGAGAACCATTTTGTGTAAGTGTCATGGCGCCAACTGGTGCCACTTTCCGAGAAAATTGTCCCGACTTTTCCATTTAGGCAGTGGCGCGGCGCCAACTTGCGCCAAACCGGCGCCAGGTTGTGGAAAAAATTACACCGTGTTGTCTGGGGGTAATTTTGGAAGAATGAAAGAGACTTATAAATAGGATCCTCATGACAGAATAAAAGATGCAGACCTATTCTATTGAATTGAGACGACGGTGGTGTTCCGAGAGGATTCTGGAGATCAAGTTCTTCTTCATCTTCTCTTTTATTTTATGTTTTTATTGAATATTGGATTTTTAGCCATGATTATGGTTGGCTAGTACTCTTTATTGTAGTT